CCAGNCTATCTACATTTTATTGGATATTCAAATGGTAAACTTGATTTTGAACTTTAAAGTATATCGGACCCACAAAATAAAGGGTAATATGGATCCAGGTATAATTTATCAATTTAGTTTTAGGTGCACATTGATACAAATTTCTATTTTTGAAGGTACAAATTGAGATTTTTTATTTTTGGGGGTGCAAATTGATACAAATTTCTATCTTTGAGGGTACAAATTGAGATTTTTTATTTTTGGGGTGCACATTAATACAAATTTCTATCTTTGAGGGTACAAATTGAGATTTTTGATCTTTGAGGATCTAAATTGAGATTCGAACTATCTTTCGGAGTGTAATTTGCAATTAACTCTGATTAATAATTACATTTTTTAATTTAATTAAAAATATTTTTATTTAAAAATAAATTTATTGATCCCATTTTTTTTTTCACATAAAAGGATTTGTTGATCCTGTTTTTGAAAATATTGTAATTTATTAAATAAATTTAAAAGTGCTGTTTTAAAAAAGTCTCTTATTTTAATAATTTTATTTATAAATTGTTGTATTTTAGTGATTAACTCTCGTCTTTTTTTGGTATTCTCTTTCAACAATTCCCGATCCCGATCTCTAAGAGAATAAGGTTAGTAGTAGTATGTTCAACGTTTTACATCATACATTTGGTTTCTTTGATTCGCATTTTTTCTTTTCCCTGTGTGTTTCTTTAGGGCTTATTCAGCGTCCAGATTCGTATTCGATGCACATGGTTTAGAATTTCATTGAACATTCAATTTTGTTAAAATTATCGTATTTTGGTTTTGGTTTCGGTTTTTTAGATAGTCATGTAGGACTCTCTCTCTCTCATATTTCTTCTTTAAACTTTATTGGATTTGGTGATTGGTTTGGTTTTTAGATCATCTTTTTTTTTACACATCTTTCAAATAGATTTTTTGGGTATTCTCTTTCTAGATCTCTAATAGAATAAGGTGTACATGGATCCTAAAATTATTTTTTGTTCTCATTGAACTCTCCAATNATTCAGCGTCCAGATTCGTATTCGATGCACATGGTTTAGAATTTCGTTGAACATTCAATTTTGTTAAAATTATCGTATTTTAGTTTTGGTTTCGGTTTTTTAGAGTCATGTAGGACTCTCTCTCTCATATTTCTTCTTTAAACTTTATTGGATTTGGTGATTGGTTTTGGTTTTTAGATCATCTTTTTTTTTACACATCTTTCAAATAGATTTTTTGGGTATTCTCTTTCTAGATCTCTAAGAGAATAAGGTGTACATGGATCCTAAAATTATTTTTTGTTCTCATTGAACTCTCCAATAATTTCAATCCATATACACCTTATTCAGTTAAATTTATTAATTATCGTGGGATTGACTTAATCTTATCGAATTGTGTGGGATTTACTTGTTCATTTTTCCTATTGTGGGGTGTGGGATAGTCTCACCATTGTGTATTGAATATATATATATATATTCACTTATTTCAGTGGCCGTACACTAAGCCTCATTGCAGTATTCAAGTGGTCTGTATTGTTGAAAACAAAATTCTGGGTGATGTTTTTTTTTTTATTGATCATTGGAATTCTGGATTAAGCTTGATCTTTGTTGGAACTTTTAGAAACTCAGATCATGTTCTATGCTTTTAGAATGCTTATTTTGTTGTGAGTTCCAACCTGATGTATGTCCAGAGCTCATGTTTTTGGGCTGAGCATGTTCATTACTTTATGTGTGATGCCCAGATCAATGATTAAGCTTGTTGATGCTTCGTTGGCTTTGGAGGATATTCTTTCTGTTATTCATATTCTGACTACCCCCTGATTTTTTGCTGTGCTACTACAGTTTTTTTATGATCATACCCATCTGACTTAAATGTTAAAACTATTTGGTAAAGCATTTTTAGATATTTTTTGTTTTCGTTTTCCTTCTTTTTTAGTACATTTTTTTAGGTAATGTTTTGTTTTTATATATTTGTTTTTTGCTTTTTTTTCCCCGCAAGTACACTCCATTCTTTCAAGCATAAATTACATGCATAATAGAATACCGGTGCANTTGACTTAAATGTTAAAACTATTTGGTAAAGCATTTTTAGATATTTTTTGTTTTCGTTTTCCTGCTTTTTTAGTACATTTTTTTAGGTAATGTTTTGTTTTTATATATTTGTTTTTTGCTTTTTTTTCCCGCAAGTACACTCCATTCTTTCAAGCATAAATTACATGCATAATAGAATACCGGTGCACTTGTGTAACTACATTAATTACATGAGCAATACTATTGAGACTTAACTTGAGGACCTAATATGGGATTATCTTGCATGATGGTCATTGGATTGACAGTGTATCAATCCGAAAGCTACAATGCATTAAGGTCTCCAAATTAGTTTCCTATATTAGGTCAAACTAGCATTATTGTAATTATATACTAAAATTCATGTTGATCACTTTCCTCTACCTCCTCCTCCTACTACGTGTCTTCTTTTTGCGGAACCCAAAAGCATGAGTGCTATTTTGACACCCTGAAGCAATCATCAAGATATCCTGTATGCATGTCCTTTAACTTGGGTGTAGATGAGTTGAAGATGGCATGTTCCATTACTTGTTTGCCAAAGATTACATTTTGAAAATATCCATATTAGCATCGTATCTTTCTATTTTTAAATAGCCTAATTACCCTCCAACAAATCATGTAAATTTTCCTATTTTTGCAAAAAAAAAATTCAGTAAAATATTTAAAAAACATATTGACAAGTCTATTAATACAGTACTATCCCAAGTGCCCAAAAACCAATATTTGTATTTTTTTTTCTTCAAATCAGTATGTATTAAACCCCTTTTTATTTTTTTCAAACTTTATCAAATTTTTTACAGAAAACTTTCATGTGCAACACATGTTTTGCATTGCTAGTAGCCTAGTACCCATAAAACACATTCATGAGCCAAGACACATTTTCATTATAAGTTAGCTAACCATTTACATCAAGTGTATAAGTGACTTTTGGACATGTTGAGTCAACTCATAAACAAACATAGGAAGACCATATAATTTAGGTGACGGGACAATTCAAATGAGGCCTCATTCCTTCTTTTACCAAATTTGTATTCTAAAACAACTTCATTTCATTTTTTTGATAGTGGAAACAAGCAAAATGTCAAATCATCTCCATCAAGCTTTGCAGTCTTCAAATATCTGGTGCCAGTACTAGTTGCCCTTGTTGCCATCAAGTATCAAGCCAAAAATGAGGATCCATTTGAAGCACGCCCAATAAACATGTGGTGCTTCTGTATAGCCATATGCATCTACTGTCTTGCAAAGGGAAGAAGAAATAAAATTCAAAGTAGTGTTGCAAACTACTCACCAATCATAGACCATGTTATTCTCCTAGAGCTCTTGCTTCGGTCTCACTAATATCGGTCCTCCTCCCACGCATCCCTGAGTTACTGAGTTTTGCTGTAATACCATTTGTGCTAATAATAATAGCATGGAATAAACACAAGCGTGGATGTTATTGGCTCTGTGATGGAATAGCCAATCTGGTTACCTTCATTCCCGATATTTGGAATTGGTCCACCCAAAGCAACGTGGCAGCGCAGCCAAATCCATAAGTGTAAATCCTCTCCAGCCGTTTAATGCTTGTGTTGTAACAGTAGCCTCATGTTGTAATCATTCATCTTGAAGTGTTTTATTAGACTTGTTGATAGAGGCTGGTTGGTGATAGGTATAGAGCTCCTCTTTTTCTTTTCCGCTTACCACTATTTCCTCCTATCTTGTACTTGCTTTAGAGCAAATTATCTTCATCTTGTTTTTTACCAATGGTTTCATTTACCAAAGAATTATGTTTACAATATTGTTCAATATATCCAAAAATATTTCGGGATATACTCTCAAGAGAGTTAATCATGATTCAAAACAGCTTAGAATGCATTTGGCAATGCTTTCAAATGGACTTTTGGGTCATAAAAGTCCCTTTTGAAAAAAACTGGTCCATTTCGTGGATGGACTTCCACCAAAAGACCATCTCCTAAATGTCCATTTTAAAGGTGGGATTTTTAGTCTTCGCTTTGGGATTTGGTGTCTATATAAGTTCTGAAATAATGGGTCTCTTGCATTGCTTTCAAAGTTTAATAGGTATTGAAACCAAGCCAGTAGTGGCGTATGAGCTCATTTTTTGTGTAAATTGACCTATGCTTCGTGAATTGGGTTATGCTTGTGTTTCTGAATGACGAGTCTTAGTGGGCTGCTTCTTTTTAGCCTTAGGCATTGAGCTGGAACATTTTTTTAATTGGTATTCATCTGGATCTTATTTGGTAGTATATTCTGCATATATTTTTGCGTGACTTCCACTATATGTTATATTAATCTTCCGTGATGGATCATTTGACTCAAGAATTGGTGTTTATAGGGGTTTGTAATGGTGGGACTCTTACTTTTCTTTGAAAATCAACAGACTGTTTTTCTTTATAAAATGTTGGACTGTAGACAATCTGAATCTTGACAGGTTATAATAATTTGACTCTTGTGTACTTATATTTGCATGTTTGCTCATGTCATGCAAGAGTCTGTGAATGATCAATCTCTTACGTTGACGTAATGGGTGGTTCTATTTTCTAATCTTATCCCAAAACGATTATATAAAGTATATATTGTAGTTGTAATTGTAACAACATTAAAGTGACTTCTGTCATGTGCAACCTTAAGTTTCGGCTTCTTTGTCCTCTCCTTTTCCTCATGATCTGTTTCCAGATTTGAAAAGATCAGTACGTGTATAGGTGTATATACCGTTTGGCAGTTTGTGGGTTTTGGTTTGATTGTTGAATTGCGAATTGTTTTTCAGGCTGGCAGATGTTTGGGAGGGTACCCAAGAAAAGTGATAACACAAANGTCCTTTTCCTCGTGATCTGTTTCTAGATTTGAAAAGATCAGTACGTGTATAGGTGTATATACCGTTTGGCAGTTTGTGGGTTTTGGTTTGATTGTTGAATTGCGAATTGTTTTTCAGGCTGACAGATGTTTGGGAGGGTACCCAAGAAAAGTGATAACACAAAGTGCCACGAAATTCTGTGTTTCAGAAATGCTTCACTGGATGATCTGAAAAGAGCCTATAGAAAAGCAGCCATCAAGAACCATCCTGTGTCAAGGGTGGTTTTCCTGAAAAGGTGTATAATTTTTGTATATTCTTTTATAGACAAGTTTTTTCCCTCCAGAACTGCCTATTGCATTTGTAGAGAACTTGTTGCTTAACTGGTCTATTGCATTTGTGGGGGAAAAAACTGTACAGAACTACCCGGAGTGTATAAATGAATTGTGGTGTTATTCTATTTTAAAGAGACTGATTTTAAGATTCAAACTCTCATTGTATTGATTGATCAAGTGAGCACTTATCCTCGCCCCCGACAGAATTTTGCATAAATCTGAATTATGTATGTGAGTAATGCTACTTGAATTTAATTTGTTGATTTAATCACTCACAATCAATGATTGACAATGTGTTTCAATATTTGTTGAGATCCGTTATCAATTTAGTGGTTATGATTAATTATATCAGCAAATTAGGTCTCAATAAATAGTATTTGGGCTTTTGCATTATTTTATAATAAAAAAAATGTCTGACAAAAATAAGTGGTTGTTCTGATTTAAAGAGTTGAAGGGTAAAATAAAATAAATAAAAGTATAAGAGGTGCATTTAAACTAGTACAAAAATTCAAGGGTGTCTATCATATTTACTCAAACTTTTAGATACTGGAACGGTGTCGTCTTGTTGTTAATTATCTCCTCTTATTCCTCTCCCTTCGGGTCAGAAGCGGCAGAAGTATGTATATGAGCTGTTGGGAGGGAGGGAGAGAGAGAGAGAGAGAGAGTCTGCGATCACTACAGCCCATATCACCAATGTCACTGCCTCGCCTTCCAAAGGCTCTACTGCTCCTATTTTGCTTCGATTATCTTCATCAATCCATTGCTCTAGTGTTCGTACAACATTGGCTGTGTCATTGGATGAAATTCCCCCAAATGCACTTCGCCGGAAGTGTGACCGGAACTGGAGAGGAGGGTTCAGTCTAGGGGTAGATCTGGGTATGTCCCACACAGGCCTTGCGCTCAGCAAGGGCTTCTCTGTTCGACCGTTGACGGTGCGTATATGTTTATAACTGCCACAATTACTGTCTCTATCTCTCTCAGACACACATTGTGGCCTATAATGAGCTGATTGAGTTAGGTTCTGGAGTTGAGAGGGCAAAAGCTTGAGCTTCGACTTATTGACATTGCTGAGAAGCAGGTACAGAACCCTCTCTCTCTCACTCACATGCACACACAGACATAGATATTGATATAGATATAGGTTTAATGTCTTTAGTGGCTGTAAAGTAAAAGAGATAGAAAACCCAGATGGGGTTTGAGTGATTTCGTAATTGTGGGTGTGGGTTTTAATTGATTTGCTGGTGTGGGTCAATTTTTTTTTTTTCCTAAATTCTCAACGATTGTGAGTTGGTATGTAGTAGGAGGTTGATGAGTTCATAGTAGGACTTCCTAAGTCTTCTGATGGAAAAGAGACACCGCAGTCCAATAAAGTTCGTTCTGTTGCTGGTAGGCTTGCTGTTCGAGCTGCAGAGAGGAGAATTCTTATGCTAAAGTGGGTTTGTGATTACTTTTGGAGTTTCATGTTTTCGTTCATTCGGGATTGTCAGGCTCAAATGTATAGATATGATTGTGTACTTGCAGTTTTTCAACCTTGTTTGGTATCTGAGTTCCATTTAAAATTTAGGGTTGTGAATTAAGGACCTTTGGCTATTTGTATTCATTTTCCGGATATGCAATGGTACTTTGGGAATTTGAATTCATTTGAGACAGATGTTCTTGAATACATTGCTTTTCTGATTTGTCAATTCTGAATTGATTTGCTCAAAATTCAGCTTGTAGAAAAGACATATATAATTCGATTTTCTGATGGGATGTCATGGACACCAAGAATGGACTGTCTCATATGAAGGTTTTGGAAACATTCGGGTGCAAAAAGGCATATGCTATTGTAAACATTATGCTAAAACTTACACTAACATATAAATGATCAAGGAAGAACAGTATCTAGATCCATGTCTCACGACAAGGGTTTGAGCTTAAGTGGTATGACTTGCACCTCCCTATGGTGTGGACAAGAATTCAAGCCAGTACAGGCATGGTGTGTGTTGTTGCCACCCCCAGACTATTTAATGTGGTGGGGAGAAAACTACAATGGAAAAGGGGATTTCTATGTGTAACAAAGATAAGAATCAGCAAAAGTAAACTAGCATTTTCTCTGATGTCTGTCAAATTTTAATGCTTTGGGCTATGTAATAGAGTAGAACATGAGGTTGTTCATATTGATTTAAAGGTTGTATTATGAGTGGTTTAATTCAATATATGGCAGTTTGTACCGGTATTTGTTATCGGGGAATGCCTGACCCATTACTCATGCATTATTGTATACTTCTGGATGGATGAGAAGTCTGAATCCTAGAGCCCGCTAATGCAAAGTATGTATCACGTAACTATCCATAAGTTCTGATAAAAAAAAAAACTGACCATAAACCATTTAATTCATGGATTTGATTCATTTTGATACATTCTGTTGAATGTGTAAATGTTGGTTGGAGTGAAGAACCACATACATACTATACTATGAAAGTATTATTCATAAAATTGGTAAGACTTCCATGGTTAGAATTGAAATTGTAAATTGCTGCCATCCTCAATTTGTCTCTCATCCTGAAAAATATAATATTGTAGGATCCAGCCTGTTTTTGTCAAATTTAAAACACTCTAATTTGAGTTTCGAAGTCTAGTCTCAGCATAGTTTCCAGTTGATGTTTACATCCTATCTTCTTTGTACAAGTTAGAATTCGATGAAGTACATTTGCATATGTGTAGTTGTGTACTATATACATATGATCAAGTCAACATGGGATATTTAGGGATGATGACAATTGATCAGCATAAAGCTTGAAGCATGAAATATTGTGAAAGAAATGTTCAAAGTAATTGAAATCATGGGACTGGTTGATATCATCTGTATATTTTTGTCGTATTGAAAAATGATAAGCAAACTTCTCATTCAGAAAAAGAAAAAATAGTCTGAATTTTGCATGTCGTTTCAGTTGTCCTGGTGGACGGGGAAGAAAGAAATTCCTCAGATTTGTGTGACTCACCTATCGATACAGGGATCAATCACACTTTGTGGAGTGTTGTATATTTATATTTTGGGAAAAGTTCTAGGAGGTATATATCATGCTTAAGTTCATTCACTGATTATTTTTTTGCAAAAGATTCCTCCTATGGAAGCATGAAATGACATCTGCTTGACATTCATATTTGTTCTTCCTGTTATTTTCTCTTGCATCTATTGCTAGCTAGACTCTTGGCTCAATTTCTGTTAGATTGACTACTTAAATACATTCCAAAATATAGGGGTTGGAGAATGTACTTGCCGGATGAGCATGGGACATCAACCAAGGCTATGGACCGTATGATTAATATGTAATAATTTCTCTCTTGCATCTTAATTATTTTGTTGGAATTTTCCTTACAAGGATTAAAGAATCAGCATTGGTTTATATAGATCTGTTTAATGTCACTTTTATGTGAATGAGTTAAATTATGTATCTTTGATGGAGCATTAGAAGGATACATGGCGATTGAACCAGTGTGTTGCGTTTCCCACGAAGTTTGAACACAAAATCCCTCACGGGTGGGGTGGGGTGTTGATATATATCATGCTTACAACTACATAGCAATGAGAGCTTGTCAAATGATATTACAATCACGGTAGACTTTTTCGAATATTTAGAATACAATGGCCCAGTTTGTCCTCCACCTTTTACAAGAATGCACGTACCTCATCCCTAGTCTCTGAAGCACCAACAACTTAGAGTAACTTCATTTGGATTCGACAATACTCCACTTGTTTGCTGAGGAGACGGTGAATGAAGTGGAACCTTGACATCCTTATATGTAAAGGGTTAGTTGCAGCATCCCCTACATTTTAGTCTCTTTGTCTCGCAGTTGCGAAAATGATAAAGAGTAATGACATTAGTGAAAAGAAAATGCCCACTAAAAGCTGAAATACTAGAGGGTGGTCTTTGGTGCAGAGGTTAGTTTGCTCCATTGTGACCAGGGGCCTCAACGATTTGAGTCACGGAAATAACCTTTCCGCATGTGGAGTAAGGCTGCATACATTTAACTCTCCCCACACTTTTCAATGGCGGGAGCCTCATGCACTGGGTTGCCTTCTTTTTTCAAATATATCTAAACCATCGAAAATGGCCCGGAGAGCATTTGTAAATATTTGTTTTCAGGCATTGTACACTAGATTTTATTGTTAATGTTGCTATATTTCTCTTCATAAGAATTAATGACATCAGTAACTTAGTTTCTATGTGGAAGTATGGCCTTATAATGTTGAATATGTGATGATTTTAGACAAAGTAGTGCTGATTAGTCTCCAGTAGAGGAACTTACAAATTTTGTTAAAGCAGTCGTCTCAAATCCTTTCAGGGGTCTCAGTAAGTCTGTTCGGCAAGGGAGCATTGATGCCTACGCCGCTATGGTATGCATTGTGTTCTATTTATCAATGTATTTTTTTTTAATGTTTTCAATGTATTTATTTATTTGTTTAGTTTTCAGTTTTTTGCTACTTAAAGGGAAGTGCTATTCTCACTGTTTTTTCCCCCTTTTTGTGCATAGAGATCCCTATAGATCCCCTGCTTAATCACTTATCACAGAATGCAAGCAGAAACAGAAATAGGAAAATGTACACAATAGATTTTGACATGTTATCACTTATTTTTTGCCCATTTTTTGATTACAGATGGTGCTGGAGAGATATTTTTCCCTCTCAGATCATGGAATTGAACTTGTTCTGCCCAAGCCGTTGGAGCTCCAAATCAAGCTCCGGAAGGGTCCAACTAGGGATGCAGTTTTTTTTCCAGAAGAATTTGATGTTTGTCCTTTTTCTCTCAATAGGGAAATATGATTCTTAAAGATTTCTCATGGTTGGTGGGTCTCATGGTTGCTACTAGTCGGAAAAAGAATTCTAATTGAATTAGAATCATGTACCTCCAAACAATTTTGACCCTATTGTATTCTTGTTGATTGATTGGTCTTTTGCATTTTTGGAGGTAAAAATCTGTACAGAACACAGTACGTGCAACGGAGTTTGGGACAGACAAATGACTTGCAGTGTTATCATGTTTAAAGAGATCAATTCCCGTACTGCTTGAACATATTAATTCCCATACTTGAACCTACATTATATTGCTTGAATAGACGAGTACTTATCTCTAGATCTAACGTTTGACTGACTCATAATTGTTTTTGGTCAAAAAGATCACATTTTACACCATGCATCCAAAGAGAAGTGCATTGTAACAATTATGGAATCATAGATTTATACAAGTTGATAAACAGCCAAAAAACAATTTGGACTGCTGTTTCTTCACGGGTTTCCAATTAATACCAGGTACGGATCCACCGACAAGGTTCCTAAGGATCTCAATGACATTCAAGAAGCAGTCACTAAGCCATGGTCTTATTAGGGGTGTGCCTCTCATCATTTTTTGGCAATTATGGAAGGAAAGATGCAGGCGTATGTTTGTAGGGGTTAAGCTACATTCTTCTAGCATTGTCACTAGTAGGACACCGTGCAATGTAGGGCCTAGCCTAGTGTTAAAATAAAATTATGAAAAATTCAAAAGATAACTGTGCGGGCAAGATCCTGCACGATATAAAAAACGAGAACAGATCTCTCCCTTGGTGAACTGCGAGTGAGCCGGTTGAGTGACCAAACACGCTGCTTGGGACAGCCTGCGAGGTACGATGATAACCTGGAACGGCAACGGGAGATCCTGGGAAAGGAGGAACGATCCTGTAAGGCTGAAAGGGGTTCCTGGAACAAAGAAGAACCAGTTAGAAGGGCGCCGGAGTGTTTTCCGGCGTATCCCCTCCGACGGTCTAGTCAGTCTTTTAGTGAGAGAGAGGAAGGAGAAAACACTGAGAAAAAATGTATTGTAGTAGAGAGTTTGTGATTGCATACCCGCTTTGTCTTTTGCAAGGAGTATTTATACCTTAAAAGCTCATGATTGCTGTCAGTGTCGTCAGTAGGTGATCATTAGGCTCAGGTAGCGTGTGCATTGATTCTGATGAGGAATGTCTTCTCTAATTAACTGCTCGGGCGCCCGAGCAATCAATGCTGGATCGTCGGGATGCCGACGGTACAATGTGCTCCTCTCGGGGAGGATGCAATAAATGCTCTGTAATAGTAGCATTTATTGTCTTTCATTTCCGAGCCTTACCGCATTGAATGCGGTCTCATCAAGGGAATGGTGCAATTAATGGTTTGCTTTCCCAAGTCGCGTGTCAGCAACGGCATGCGGTTTGTCTGTCTCTGATGTGACATCATATGCCACGCGTCCATCTCCTATTGGTTGTGACCTCTGCATTTCCAGTACGTTTTGACATTATTTGTGCGAGACGAGGTTATGATGAATAGCCTAGAATAGCCTAGGTTGATGACCTGTACGTCAATAGCTTATCCTGGAGCAGAGGAAGCGTCCAGGACGGGGTATCCCTCAGCACCGAGGAAAGGCTCATCTCGGGGACGAGGGAGGTATGCCGACCGAGGTACATATCAGACCGAGGCCACGTGTCGGTGTAAAAATATACCGAATGTGTGATCCTATATGTCGGTACCTCGGGGGCGAGGACCTTGTGCGCCGAGGGTGCTTGATCTTAGCAACAGTGCTTTAGTAAAATCGAGGACACGTGTCTTCATCATACGGTATTTCAGAAAAGTCCCATCAACTGCCCCCCAGCCTTCGATCTTCTGACACTGAGGACACGCGTTGTAAGGAGACGAAGGGTTTCCCAACTACCACCCGTCCTTCATCATGGCCTCGAGCCGTTTTCCCCGGCTTGGGATGTCGTGCGCATTAAATGCGCCGTTTCGGTTTTCCCGCCTAATGATGAAAATTTGCCCCTATATAAAGGGGGTTCCTCACTGGATTCCTTCGTTTTGCCATTTCGAACTTTCTCCAGAGTACGTCTTCTTCAATCTTCGCCNCGGATTCCTTCATTTTGCCATTTCGAACTTTCTCCAGAGTACGTCTTCTTCAATCTTCGCCGGAGTTTTGTTTCTTCTGCCATCGTCGATTGCCCATTCTCCCTCGAAATCTTTAAGCCAGCAGACCCATTGTTGATTTCTGAACTTTCTGGAGGGAGTTGCTTTAAGGTTTTTTCCAGAAAAAACTCCATTGTGGACGTTCGGGTGAGTTTCAGAATCCTCTTTCTGTTCTTCCTCCTAGCCTTTAGTTTTCCGATTGACTGGAGGTGTCATCCGGTCGGTACATAGCGATTTAAACCCTCGGGAAACTCCCTTAGGGATTTTCAAGAACAAATACCCTCTTCTTTCTTACTTTTTTAGAGATGCCTCGTCGTCGCCCTGCTCCCGAGAATCCTCAGGCTGGTCCTTCGGGGTCAGGGAAATATAAGGTAAAAGGCGA